ATTAAGAGGTTTTCTTGTTTTGTTGTTTTGGAATTATGGATTATGCATGTCGACTTAGCAATTGTTTTTACGCAAAATACTCTTCCACAAAGCTGTGACATGCTTTTACGACAAATACAAAACAACAAAACAAGAAAACCTCTTAATATTTAGGAAATTTGGAATAATACACATGATTTAATTATTTTCCCATCCGTCCATCATCTTTACCCTCTTCTTTGGCACATTTTTGTTTTGAACTTGACGCAGTCTAAGGGCCACAGGAAGTGATAAAGAAGAACTTCCTGGTCTTTGTTTATATGCACTCCGTCCCTTCCTCATCTCTCTCTGATCGTGACTCTAATCTAAATAAACTTCTCTACGATGCTGTTAGCCATTGTAACAAAGCTGTTTCCTGTTTGACATCACTTCCTGTTGCTGTGCACGCAAATATCTCAACAAATTGTGCATCTCAGTGACGTGATCCTTTTTGCATTGTATTAATGTTATCTTAAACATGCATCAGTATTTGTCACAAAAACTTGATGTCACAAGCACTTTACCAAAGTGACTGTATCACATGGTACTCCTTGAAACTGGCCCATGTGGACTTGCAGGTAAAAACTGAAGCTCAAATAAACTTCAACTCTAAAACTCAAAACTTGATTTGTACAAAAGGTTTTGATATGAAGGTAAAACATTTCTCCCCACCTGAATGTTCTCCTGGATGCGAGATTTTGTCACACTCTTGGGAATTGTTACTACTCCTCGTTGTGTCTGCCACCTGTCATGGCAAGCCAACAAAAGTGATTTTACATACGCTGATAAAACCCAAAGTATGATAAAACCCAAAGTATGATAAAACATTAAGTGCAATCCTGCGGTTCCTTTTGGTAAACTCACCTTAGGATGATTTGAGCAGGTGACATTTTATATTTCTCTGCAAGTGAGGCAATAACTGGTTCTTGTAGCAGGACAGGTTCATCTGGATGTTTCCAGGCCCGATCAGGAGACCCCAGAGGACTATACGCCGTCAACACCAGACCCCGATCCCGACAGTGGGCCAGCAGCTCTACCTGGGCCAGGTATGGGTGGCTCTCTACCTGCCAGATGCAGGCACAAGACATGTCAGGGTCACCTCGACTGTTTTCCATCCATGTCCTTCATCACCACGAACACCATGTACCTGAAGAACAGTGGGTTTAATCCTGGCCACAGACAGGATGTCATCAATCTGTTTGCTGTTGAAGTTGGACAGGCCGATGGAGCGAACCAGGCCCTTCTCCACCAGCTTCTCCATGGCTGCCCAGGTCAGCTTGTAGTCTGTGTCGTCATACAACAAAGTGCCATCCTCTTTTCTGGGGAAAGGAATGTTTCCTTGTCTATCCAACCCAAAGAAGACAGTTTATTAGTATTAATATTATTATTATTATTATTACAAGTATTATTATTAAATGAGTTTTTGTATTGGGGAATAATATAGAAAAGGTCAAGTAATAAAGATCTTTGCTAAAATCTGCTGTACAAGCTGAATAGTTGTTAAAACAAGCACAAAGGAAGCTAAAGAAATCAGAAGCTGAAGCTTAAAGGAGCAGAATAAAAACAAAGTGGTGGAACAAAAGATTCAAGAAAAAGAAGCTAAAATTCAGTTCTTAAGATGCTACAAGCAGTACATCAGCTAAAAGCTGTACAACTGAAGCTAAAGGCTAAATAAAAAAGCAGTAGATAAAAACTAAAAAGCTAAAATGCTGATTAAGCATTTAAAGACATTTTTTTTTTAAAAAAAGGAAAGATTGCCACAAATGTAAGTTTTTACACAACACTAGACTTTGAACTAAAATTAAGACAATGTAAGATCTCCCATTCTTCATTTACATCACTTTATATTTTGGGTTATCAGATAATTAAAGCTAGTTTTCTCAGAATAATGAGCGATCATATTCTTAGACCTCCATGGAGGTTGTACTTACTGGAAGGCGTAAGGCCAGTGCATGAGGTAGAGGTCCAGGTAGTCCAGCTTCAAGTCCTTCAGCGTCTTCAGGAGGGCGGGCTCTACATCCTCTGGGTGGTGGCAATTGTTCCACAGCTTAGAAGTGACGAACACGTCCTCTCTCCTCAGGAACTGAAGGACAAGCAAACATTCAGGTCCTTCTTTTAAAACAGGTTAAAACCTTCACATTTTCTGACCACTTTTTACTCAGCTGAACATCCAGTGCATTGTGGTGAAGCAGTTTTACCTTGTCAGAGCCGAGCGTCTCCTGCAGAGCATCTCCAACCTCAGTCTCATTCCCATAGATGGCTGCGCAGTCAATGTGACGATAGCCGGCCTCCAACGCCCACGCAACAGCTTGTTTGACCTGTGAAAGGCCCAGTTCAGTGAGGACAATGGTCTTAATTTAACAAATGCCATCATTTATGAAACTGATCAGAAGCTTCTGGAAATTTAGGACAAACTGTATCAAACTACAGATTCTTATCTTTCTAATTTATGTACGTCCAGTATTTGCCTTGTTGATCCCATTCAGTCTTTAACATCATGTTATAATAAGCTTATTGTTATTAGTATAAGAAGTCAAATTAACAATAATGGTAGCAGAGCTCGTTAAACTACAAAGACAAACACTTAAGTATAGGTCCACACCCAACAACAAGGCATCAGCCATGACTTGTTTAGTGCCATAAGCAGTAATTCCAGTGTGTTTTCTATATCAGTGGTATATTGTGTTGATTATTCGTTGACCTCTACCTTTCCTGGCTCACTCTTCCATGTTCCCAGTCCAATCAGGGGCATCTTCCTCCCCGTGTTGAGAACTGCAAAGTCATTCATGGCTCTCTGAATAACCTTAAAGGGACAAGCAGAGAAAATATGGTTTAGAGCAACGTTTAAAACTCGAGTGGCAACAAATTTAGAAACTGAAATTCATAATTTGCATAAGCCTTCATAAACTAACTAGACTACAATTCTACAACAAGACTCTGATCTGATCAAATGTATCGATTATCAGATCATCAGTGTGTGAGCTGACTGAGCTCCTCTATAAAAACAGGACTGTTGTCAGTTTTCTCCTCGGGTGCATTCAGGCGTGTTAGCATAAAGACTTCAGCAGTGACCTCAGAGAAGCAGCTGCTCATCAATCTGAAGGGGTAAAGCTCATTTGGAGTCCATTCTACAGAGTTAAGGATTAAACATTTACAGCTGCCAGTCTTCAGAGAAGTGGACACCCTGGCAAAATCACCCCATTGTCAGACCGTGCAATGTTCAGAGAAATCACAAAACAATTCAAATAGACTCTACAGGCAGCAGTTAGCAGGTTAAACGTTAAAGATCATGACATATAGGGTTGTAACACTACATGTATTTGTACTGACACTTTGGGTTGGACTTTTTGGACAGTACAGTGAAATGACAACTAATACATCAGTCACAGGTGATCGCTGCTCCCAAAGCCAGTGCACGTTTTATTTAACTGAATCTTGTTAACAGCCCTGACTGAAAAGACGCCATGAAAGTTACTAACACTGTACACCAACAGAAAGAGGGTTGGCCCAAAAAAAACCAGACAAAAACACCTGCATGTTTAGTTTAAATCAGCTGTGGGGAATTAAAAACAGAAAAATACTGCAGTGCCGTTGATCATGGTGTAAACAACCCAACCCAAAAATGCATCACAGTCTAATTTCCCCCTAAGGCATTTATTTTGTATTTCCTTTTCATATTATGAAGCTTTCATTTTTGTGCATTTCATGTGATGCTCCACGCATCCATGTAAGCGTATGGAGCTCGATTATGGTGAAAAGACAAAGAAATTCTATCAACACTAAAGACAACCCTGGACTGTACGACTTTATAGAGTAATTAAGTGACCACAAGGTGGAATGGGAATTATATAAGGTTTATTTTAATCTGTTTACCGCTACTAAGAAAATACAATTGAAAGGATTTAAGTGTGGCCCTATGATGGACTTGCGACCTGTCCAGGGTGTACCCCGCCCCTCGCACAGTGATTGCTGGACATGGGCACCGGCGACCCCCGTGACCCAAAATGGAAGAAGCGGGCAAAGATAATGGATGGATGGATGGATTTAAGTGTGATGCTTCAGTGATATCTCCACTATAAATAGTGGTGCAAAGGCTAAAAGCAGTTTTGAGCCTTTTATTATAAAGAGCGTGTTTTTGTTTTCACAAACACTCATACCAGCTGTCAGTACGGTGGTGGAGAGCTGATGGTTTGGGCTCTTACAGAAAACAACTACTGAGAATTGGTTCTGGTATTTATTCAAGAGCTGGACTCACACTCAGCTTTTCCATTTTGGTATTACTTTTAATAATTTGATGGTGAGGGGAATCTGTGCTTTTTTTTTTTACAGTTGAAAGTAGATTTGAATCATTTTATTACCTGGTAAAGATGCAATGATTTTTAATCTGTCCAGATATGGAAAACCCTAAAATGTATCTAGAGTGGACTGTCTTTCTCTCATGTCTGTCTTTTACACAAAGCTTTGAACGTTCGCTGAGAATGACAAACATGTTTTCCTTGAGTCTTGATTTTTCGAGTACATTCCTTTGATATGAAGAAGCAGAAACAAAAGCTTGTGAAACTAATGGTGACAATCCTTACTAGATTTTCTGTGGCAACATTTTATCTGAACACAGAACAGTGCTGAATCAACATCCACACAATTTCCTCTTTAGTTTTCTTCCTTAGTCAGCTGTTACTTTAAGCATTCACATATCAAACCTGTCAGCTAGTCAGAAACAGTATGCTGACTTTTTATGATTTTAACTTTTATCCAATCAAAATATTTACCTTTACTTTTTAAAGGCTCAAAATACATCAACATGTTTTCCATTTCAAAAACTTAATTTTCTTTCAAATCTGCTTTCTGCTCAATTTTTGTTGTTTTATGCTACTTCTACTTCATTTAGGTACAGTTCTGCTACTTCTAGCATTTAGCTATAGTTTTGCTACTTTTAGCATTTCGCTACAGTTCTGCTACTTCAAGCATTTAGCTACAGTTATGTTGTTTATTTGTCATATGCAGATTAGCACAAGGTCAACAATGCAATGAAATGTTCAGGATGAGAAGAACCATTTTGACTTGATAAAAAAATTAAAAAAATAAGTAAAATATAAACAATAAAAAATACTAAAGCACACAGTAAGGGTACAAAATAAAGAGCCAAAAAGTGACTAAGAAATATTTTCAAGGTCCAAAAGAAATAATAATAAACAACAACACGGTAGACTATAACAGTGCAAGTAGGATGAATTAGTATAAATAAGTATTTCACAGGTAGAAATATTGCTTAAATGCACAAGCTATATTCTGCACATAACATACTACACATGTTGGGTGCCCGGTTATTGCACAGGGAGTAACATTTAGATCAATTATGATGGTAAGGTATTGACATACATGATACAGCCACATAGTGCAGCAGCAGCAGCAATAAACACAGTAGTTGTCACAGATGTGGCTTGGTGTGGTGTTACTGTCAAGAGTTCAGTATTATTGTTAAAGAATTCAGTAATCTGACAGCTTGTGGATAATAACTGTCTTTTGAGTTTATTCGTGCACAATGGCAGACTCCTGTATCGTCTGCCTGAGGGTAGTAGATGGAAAAGTCCTTGTGCTGAGTGGGTGTGGTCCTTAATGATGCTACCGGTATATGCTTTACACAGACACCAGCAGTGGTAGATGTCCTGGATGGTGTGGAGACTGCTACCAGTTCTGCTACTACTAGCATTTACCTACAGTTTGGCTACTTTTGGCATTTAGCTACAGTTATGCTACTTTTAGCGTTTAGCTACAATTCTGCTACTTTTAGCGTTTGACAGCAGTTGTGATACTTGTAGCTTAATTTCATTCTGCTATTTTATCTACGTTCAGCTACCATTCAGCCACTTTTAGCTACAGTTGTGCTAACTTAATCTACTGTTCTGCTGATAATAGATTCTAGCTGTTCTTTTATGTTGTGTTCCACTCTTTTTGGACTCTCTTCTACTGGTTTTACATTCACAAAGTCAATTCCTGCTTATTCAGCAAAGTAACTTGGCTCTTAACATTGACACTGCAGTTAGATTAGATCATATATAAATTAGGACAAAAGCTAACTTCACTGCTGAGTATGAATGAGACACAGTTTTAAGATATCTCTAGCGACTTCTAGCTTCAATTAAGGTGTGTCAGCTGATTTCCTGGAAAGTCCCAAGCATTATACCACACCGAAACATTCAAGCAGCTTAGCTTGAAAACCAAACCGATCTTTGACAATGGCTCTCATGTTAGCAAGCAGCTACTGAAGATTTTTGCATACTTTACCAGAAGCGTTGTCACCAGATCTAATATTACCAGTCTAAATATTTTTGAAGGTTGCATAGAAACAACTGAATGAAATGAAGTCGCCCCGGGCGCAGCAGCATTTAAACCCGCTAGCTTTAACCTCTTTAAGAAACCTGCACACGATAACCGAACTGTCCACTTTTTCGTCAGTACTTGAAGGTTAAAACGGTCAATTTACTCACCCTTACACCAGTGTAATGCCGGGTTACGTTAACAAGACATCTGGACAGATGCATGATTGTTTGAAGTCTGGGTTCATTCAACTCACCGCCGAGAACTGGTTCAGAAAACTGCCCGGTCCGGTCCACCACTTCCACAAGAACCTGCTCCTTTGCTGTAGTTGTATCTCAAGACTGCTGGTTTTCAAATATTCCAAAGAAACACCCTCATTTTAATTTATTTTTCTTCTTTTTGTACTTCGGTGAAACAACGATCAAAACAACTCACGTGACGATATATTTTTTTTCTCCTGGCGGTATCAGTTGTTCTCGCGAGAAAGCCAGTGTAAAAAAAAAACTTTATTGAAAAATCACAACAAAGTTGTACTGTTTTTTTCAACCGCAAAATTACGGATACGAACGCGCATGCTCAAAGTTAGTAATGCGATGCATTGTGGTCTAGAAATGTTCTTGTTTTTGTTCTGGTTTTCTTATTTTTTACATCTTATAAACTTTTTTTTCAGTTGTGTATATTCGTTACAATCACTGACTGTAGCCTATTTATCCAAATGATATTCACATTTTGAACATTTACATTACAACTCTACATTTTTCACAACCTGATCCACATTTTTTTTAACTTCCGATCCGATCCCGATACCTAAATCTAAATATCGGCTGATATCAATCCAGTTCTGATATCATCATCATTACTGATTTTATATGAGGCTGTAATAATCTCCTCTCAAGTACAATTTGTACATATGCATGCATGTCCAAAAAGGCAACTCCAGGTAAGTTTTAGGATAAGTTTTAAAGTTAGAATTAAATTCTGCTAACACAAAACATGTTTCTTTTTATTCCTAGCTTTAAAGTGGATATTAAAGTGATTAATTTAAGTGATCGTTTAAATTATTATTATTATTTTAAATAAGGGGCAGATATAAGTTTTTTTTTCCTTTCTGCACTCTTTTCATTCAATGTTTTATTTATTTTTTTTTTGTTTCTTTTAAATGAATGAATAAATGAATAAAAAAAAATGTTAAATGGCTTTAAACATCTAAGTTCATGGCATAAACCAACAGACATGTTCATGATTTTAGTTATTTACATCACTTTATAATGTAGCTGTTTTT